TCCCTTTCTTCTTTTTCTTCTTTCTCTTTCCTCCTTGTTTCTTTCTCCTTTCCTTCTTCTTTCCCTCCCTCTCTTCCCTCTTTCCTTTATTTCTTTTTTTCCTGAGATAGGTCTCAGTACATAGTCCAGACTAGCCTGAAACTTACTATATAGTCCATAGTGGCCTCAAATTCCTGGCAATCCTTTTGCCTCAGCCTCCCCAGTGTTGAGCTTACAGGAGTGTACTACTGTGCCTAGGTTGTCTAATGAACTTCATATTTGTTTGTACTCAGAGCTGGTTTAATTCCAACCACTCTGTAAAGTAGATATTACAGTGATCCTCATTTTGGAAGTGAGGAAAAAGTTCAGAGGGGTTAAGTGAATTGTTTGAGGCCACTCAGTGAGGAAGTGACTGAGATGTGATTTCAGTGCATGTGGTGTGACTTCAGTCTGAGCTACTGTTTCTGTGTTTCCACTCCTGAGAATATCCACCAGGTACCTAAGGGAAGCTCAGTGGGGTGAGGAATTGATGAGGGAACTGATGGTGTGTGACACAAGGAGATGGGAAAGATGGAGAATTATGTTATCTTTGTTTGAGATTATGTCTCTCTGTGTATTCCAGACCAGCCTTTACCTCATGATCTTCCTGCCCCAGGCTCTCTGAGGTGCTGGAATTATAAGGCATATGTACTACCACAGTTGGCTTTGTTTGGGCTTTTTTTTTTTTTGGTGACAGAGTATTAACCCTGTTAGGCTTGCCTGAAACTCACTATGTAGTCTAGGCTGGCCTCAAACTCATGGCAGTTCTCTTGCTCCAGTATCCCGAGTGCTGGGATTTTTGGTGTGGGCTACCTCACTTGGCTTGTTTTTACTTTCTAAGGAGTCTTGGTAAAGGACCAAATTTACTGTGCTTGGAGGGAAACTGACATGGCGGCAAGCAGTGGAAGACACTTTCCTCATTGCTGTGACCAAATGCTTGGCAAGAAGTGTTTATTTTGGCTCATGATTTGAAGGGGATACAGCTCATCATGATGGGGAAGGTTTGGCTGCAAGAGTGAGGCAGCTGGTCACACTGGGCCTGCAGTCAGGAAGCAGGGGTGGGAAGGTGGGGAGGGGTTGCGGGAGATGAATGCTGGTGCTCAGCTTGCGTTCTCCTGGAATGGTGCTGCTCACATTCAGGGTAGGTCTTTCCTTTTAGTTTAACCTTTCTAGAAACATCCAGAGATGAGCTTTCATGGTGAGTCTAAATCCAGACAAGTTGACAGTTATGATTAACCATCCCAGAGGGGACTGTGAGGTGGGGGTTGTAGGTGTCACTCAGTTGCTTTTTAACTCTCTCACATGGACTGTGCAAGTGATTGAAGGTCCTTCTGTTTCATTAACTGCAAAATGGAAATTGTATACTTCCCTGGCAACCTGGTATAATCTTTTAGAAGAAAAATCATTTTTAACTTTTTCTTTAAGTTATAACAAACATATAGCAGCGTATACATATCTTAAGGTTGTGGATATGCCTGTACATTTGTATGACTACCTTGGTTACCAGGCCTTTCCATCACTCCACTGGCTCCCTCCCTTCCTCTTATACATACCTGAGCAGTCCCTAGGACTTCTATCTCTGTTAGGATTTTATGAGAATCTCACATACAGAAATAATAGTGAATATTTTTGCTTTGCAAACTCTAAAGTAGGGCCAGCAAGATCCTGAAGACCTGAGTTCAATCCCCGGAACCCACACGACAGAAGGAGAGAACTGACCCCACAAGTTGTCCTCTGACCTCCATATGTGCACCATCGCCTAATAAATAAATGTAAAAAGGAAAGAAATAAACTCTAAAGTACTCTTGCATGCACATGTGAGAGAGAGAGAGAGAGAGAGAGAGAGAGAGAGAGAGAGGAGAGAGGAGAGAGAGAGAGGAGAGAAAGAGAGAAAGCGAGCATTTGGGAAAATGACAGTGATAGAAGAGTGAAAGGAGAAATCTTATTGAAGTAAAGTCTGAAAAGTAGCAGGACTGTCAGGAATGTGAAAAGTGAGATGTTTTTGTGAGGGAGACAGAACTCATTTGATGTCAGTGCAAAATGAACAGTCTGACTGGAACTTAACCATCTCTCGATGTTTTCTTTGATTGGCATGGTTATTTTGTCTATGGTCACAGAGATTTTTGGATGCATTTATTCTATGTCTTAGGATTTGGAACATATATATTTATTTTTAAAACTTTACTAAAAGTTGACATGACTAACAAAATCTAATGTTAAATCTTCTCAAAACAGTACAAAGATCTAGGTATGCTTCAGTTCCCCTTGTAGCCTCAGCGGGCTTGGAACTCGCTTTGTAGAACAGGCTGGCTTTGATCTCACAAAGATCTGCCTGCCTCTGCCTCCTGAGTGCTGGAACTAAAGGATCGTGCAACCATGCCCAGTTCACTTGTACCTTTTTTTTTTCTTTTTTTTTTTTTTTCGGTCTTTTTGAGACAGGGTCCCCCTGTAACCCCAACTGTCCTGGAACTCATTATGTAGACTAGGCTGGCCTTGAACTCACAGAAATCCGCCTGCCTCTGCCTCCGAGTGCTGGGATTAAAGGTGTGTGCCACCACGCCTGGCTCTCTTGTACTTGTTTGATTTAGATATTATTGTAGATAATAGTCAAGTATTGGGGCTCATGCCTATAATCCAGCATTTGGGAGGAGGAGGCAAAAGGATTGCTGTAGATTCCAAGCCATGCCAACCAGGGTTATAGAGTGAGAGCCTGTCTCAGAAAAAAAAGATAGCAGTTGATACTATTTTATATATAATATCTCTCTTTCCCCCTACTTGTAGTTATACATAGTTTTATACTTTTACATAGACAGTGCATGTTTAAACTTAATGTATATCATTTTCTTTCATTTCTTTTTAGAACTCAAATATTTCTTCTGATTTCAGTTTTCCCCCTACCCTTTAACCCTAATGTATCTTTTACAAGAGAACTTCCCAGCCAGTGTGCATTGAATGGGCCATATGATATATGAGATGTGTATATTGAGATGTTGAGTTGGTGTCTAGGGAAGCCAGGACTTTTTCATATCATTCTTTTCTTAGCATATTTTTCCATGTATGACGTAATCTGAGAAGTGTTGGTAACATTATTTAGAACTTCTCTTAATGGAGCTCTGTAAATGGAAAACATATTTTATTTATCCAAAGAAGGTTTTCTGTTCTACTTGGGCTATGGTAGTTTAGCTGCATGTAAAGCTATAGCTTTTTAAAATCTTCATTTGTATGCCTGCAGTTGAGATGCCTGTGGTTAGTCTTGTTATTATATATACTATATGTAAACATAATTTGAAATATGTAGGTACTTGGAAGGAGAGGGTAAAAATGAGCTTTAAGACTCTCATACATTTATGTTTTTAAAATTTTTATTAGTTTTAATTGTACGTACGTGCATATATGTGTGTCATGTGCATGTGTGTAGGCACACGTGTGGAGATCAGCGGACAGCTTTTGGGAGTCTGTTCTTTCCTTCTACCACATGGGTTCCAGGGATCAAACTCAGATTGTCAGGCTTGGTGGTAAGCACCTTTACCTATGGAGCCATCTTATTGACCTTCCTTTTGATTTCTTATCTGTTAGCTTCTTTTTGAGAAAGTGATCCTTCTTATTTCAGGTGATCTTGGTTGAACTGTATCCCAATGGATTCCAGCGGTCTTTCTTTGATGAAGAGGACCTGAATACCATTGCAGAGGGAGATAATGTGTATGCTTTCCAAGCCCCTCCCTCACCTGGTCCAGGGACACTCTCAGGTACAGTAGTGCCTTGCATAATTTTATCTGGATGAGTTATGGGTTTGAGAGGATTTCTTTAACACTTAGAAATGTAAGACTTACTTTCATTTTATCTGATCTACAGATGGTTGATATTAAAATCTTAGTGAGTATTAGAATTACCTGGGATATTGCTTGAAGCAGATTTCTAGACCCCCTTCTCAGAGTTTCTGATTCAAAAGGCTTGACAGGGAGACCAAGATTCTGCGTGTCTATCACATGTTGCTCAGAGATGCAGATGCCACAAGTCCAAGGACCACACTTTGAGAACCACCGTTTAGTGGGAGGCACTGGTATCTTCTTTGTTTTTAGTATTACTGTGATTCACAGTCCACACGGAAGTTGAACTTCTACAAATTAAACTGTAGCTAGCCAAAGAAATTAGTAGATAACTTAAAAAGAAATAGTTCCACTTCCTAATGTTTGTAATTTTCCTAAACCTCTGACTGGTGAATGTGGTCATTTTTCAGTAGCCTTCCCTTGTATATCAGCATGCACTTTAGCCTGATTAGCCAGTTTAGAAGGTCATGTTTAAAGGAACTTGTGCTTGGGTTGCAGCATTCAGCAGCCCCCATTTACCTGTAGTGTCCCTTTTTGCAGTTCCTGTTACCCACATCTAACCATGCTCTAAAAACAGTCTGTGCAAAGTTTCAGAAGCAGTAGTCCATGAATTGTGAGTGTGTTTTTGTAGCACTGCAGATCACACCCAGGTACTTGTGCATGCTAGTCTAGTACTCGACCACTGAGCTATGTCCTCAACCCCACAATTGATGGGTATTAAATAGCATTTATTATAGTATATTATTATAATTATTCCATTTCATTATTTTTTTGCTGTTACTCTTATGTGCCTAACTAAAATTTATCATAGGTACAAAAATATAGAAAAAAGGCATATTATTTGTAGAGTTGGTTGTATGAATGGTGATTGCTATACCTTAGATGAGTTCTGTGCCCTGAGCCCATGCTCTTAGGTGGCCTAGGTACTGAGCTGTGGGAACCAGATGGTTGATGTTCTCTGAGTCAACAGGAGGACTCTGGTCAGTGGACTATGGAACAAAACATTGACTAACCTTGACTGTGCTATAACTCAGTGAAATAAGTTCTCATTTCAAATTCATTCATGGGTAACATGTATTTTCCTTGAAAATCAATATTTCAGAACTGATTGGAACTAGTCTGGCTTAACCTGCATCCTTTGTCCATGGTAATGGATGCTCCAACGTTCTCTTAGATCAAGACATAAAAGAAACCTAAATAATTTTGGAATGTTTTTCAGATTGCTTTTGAAAACTGCTAATTAAACCCAGGCCTTTGTTTGGCTGAACATAACAACAAAATCTGACCATACATATGAATTTTGTGTGCCAGGTGCCAGATGGCAGAACCTCACCATTTCTTCCCAAAGTCCCCTTGTGTTACCCCTCAGTGGTGAGTAGATTCTCTCTCTTCCAGCTCATCCATCTAGTCTGTCAGCGTCCCCACGCTTGGCAGCCCGTGATGGCCAGCGATTCTCCATGCCTCTCCACAGTGAGAACAGGGTGCTCATCCTCTTCTGTAACCTGATGGGATCAGGGCAGCAGGCTAGCAGGTATGTGTATCTTTGTTTTGTTTTCATGGGAGGCCCGGGATTTGTAGACTTCTTTTCCCGTTGTTAAAAAATTGATGTAAGGGCTGGAGACGTGGCTCAGCAGTTAAGAACACTGGCTGTTCTTGCAGAAGACCTGGGTTTGAATCCCAGCACCCACATGGCAGCTAACAACTGTCCATTAACTCCAGTTCTAGGGGATCCAACAGCCTCTTCTGTCCTCCGCGGACATTTCACGACACTGGTACACTTACCTACATGCAGGCAGTATATGCATACACATAAAAATAACAAATAAAATATAAAAAAATAAAATTGGTGTCATGTAGTCCAGGCTGATCCTAAACTCACTATGTAGCCAAGACTGACTGACCTTGAACTCTGATCCTTCTACCTCCACCCCTTTTCTTTCTTTCTTTTATTTTTTTGGAGACAGGGTCTCCCTACAGCCCCAGCTGACCTAGAACTTGCTATGTAGACCAGGCTGGCCTCCATCTCACAGAGATCTACCTGCCTCTGCTTCCTGAGTGCTGGGGCTAAAGACGTGTGCTGCCACGCCTGGCCTTTCTCCACCTCTTGTGTGCCTAGATTGTAGGTGTGTACCACCGTGCTAGGTTCCGTACTTGGGATTCTGTCTGGGATAACTTTTAACTTGATAAAATTAAATATCTATTCCCAATGTTAATAAAGTAGGGAGTCAAGTACTCTCTAAGCAAGAGGATTAGCTATAATTGCCTCGCATGGATGGCTGAGACCATCCTTAATTAAACATCAGAGGTTTCCTATCAATTGCAGGAACAGTTGTTACTGCTTCCACCCCTGCTGCTTTTTATGATGTGAAGGCTAGCCATGCAGGGAGCCCATGTGAAGAGCTGACTATGGGAAGCAAGCCAGGTGTGGTGGTGTACACCTGTAATCTCAGCTAGTCAGGAGGCTGAGGCAGGAGGATCATGAGGCCAGCCTGGGCTATCTAGGAAGTTACAGGCCAGCATGGGCTACATAGTAAGACTCATCACCAGAAAAAAAAAAAGGTGGAAGAAGTAAAGGAAATAAAACTACTACAATTTCTATTATGATACTCCATCTAGAAAACATGAACAAGAAAAGTGATTAGAATTAAAAGGCTCAGGAAAGTGATTATTTTACAAATATGCATAAACAGTTAGCTTTCTTATATGGTCCAATAAACTGTTTATAAGGAAATTGTGACTGAGGTGATGGGTATTGCCCACATTTGATCATACTAGGGCAATGTATTTGTGTATTGAAACATTGCATTGTACCCTGCAAATGTTTGCAATTATTATCTGTCAACTAAAAATGCAGAAAAAAGTGTTCAAAAAGAATTTTAGGGACTGGAGAGATAGTTCAGCAGTTAAAAACACTGGCTGCTCTTGCTGAAGACTTAGGTTTGGTTCCCAGCACCTACATGGCAGCTAACAACTACCCCTAATTCTAGTTCCAGGGGATCCAATGCCTTATTCTGGCCTCTATGTGTGTTACATGCACATGGTGCATAGACATACATGCGGGTATATGAAATAAATAAATATACTTATGAAATAAAATAAATAAATCTTTAAGAAAAAATTCTGGGTTCAGGTGTGGCTCCAAGGTATATTGTGTGTCATCACATCACATTCTAGAGATGAGTGATCTATTTAATAAATAAGGCGTAGCTAGTTATTTCTTTTTACTTTAAATAATTTTTCCTCCTGTCATAAATTTACACATAAGAATTCCAAGTTAATTTAAAAGGTAACTATAGAAAAGTAAACTCATGAAGAATCTGAAAGACAGTATAGATGGGCATGGTGGCCTAAGCCTGTATAGCGTGAGACCCTTTCTCAACAAAATAAAACAGAAAGATGTTATAGAAGAGTGTGTCTTTAGATGGAAGAGACTGTTTTAGTACATAAAGCAGGAGGCTCCAAAGGGGAAGACTAATACCTATTTAACATTTTCAACTTTGAAATTTAAGGGAGAGGAGAAATGAAAAATAACGTCATGTGAGAGGGCAGGTGAAGGATTCATAGCCATCATAAAAAAGTCTCTCTCTCAAATGAGATAAATAGTCTCTTAGTAAAATAAGTTCACAGAAGCCAAGGCATAGGTTGAAATATTCAGCATCATTAGTAGTGAGAATTATTATCTCAGTAGCAAATCTATTCTTAGTTCTCAGAAAAATCTGGTCTATTCATTCTGAGTGAGACCAAAGCTACTTATCACTCAAGACCATAAAAGCTCTGTATCCAGGGAACTAGGTAAAGTCTCTTGCCTCCCCGGTAAAATGGTGTGGCCTTTCAATAGGGACTTTCAGTAGCTTGGAGGTAATTAGCTTTGGCTTTCTGTTTGTGGAACTTTCATCCTAAGAGAGCAGTTGTAGTTCCTGCCATAAGCAGCACTGTTTAAATAAAAAAAACTGGAAGCAACCTGAGTACTTAACAATGCAGGATTAGCTAGATGAACTGATTTGTCCATTCAGTGGACACACAGGACCCTTCCCCATCCAGACATGTCATCCCCATCCAGATATTTCAGCTTTTCTCAATGTTGACTCAACAGTTTCACACTATTGCCAAGTTAGATCTTCCCATGGCCAGGGAGCATGGAGCAGTCAGTGACTATATGGTGGTGCCCATGGCAGAGCTGGGGCCCACAGGCACATTCAGCATTCTTCATATAGTAAGCTCACTGCTGGGAGTTCGGAGGGTTGGGATATGGAATGCTGGGAATGAGAATATTCTGAGACAGAAAGCTGACGGTGTCACCTGGATTTACCACTGCCACACTTCACTCTGGCTCCCATGTTCCCTTCCTCTGCTCTGTGCTGTGGGAGCCTGTGGCTTGGAGCAGCCTGTGTTGCCCCTTGTTGCTGGCTTTGCCTCCACGCCTGTTTGTACTGCAGTGTCTCCATGAGTAACAGGGTTGGTCTCTGGCAACTTTGTATTGGTTCTAAACTCTTATCCGTTAGAGAGGAACCTGAGTTGAAGCAAGCACTCTTAACTATTATGGGATTTTCTGAAATAACCTCAGTTCCTTGATTTCAGGTTTGGGCCACCTTTCTTGGTACGTGAAGACAGAACTATCTCCTGGGCCCAGCTTCAGCAGTGTATTCTCAGTAAGGTCCGCTGTCTCATGAAGACAGAGGCCCCTGCACAGGTCAGTATATGTGTGTGTGCGTGTCTTGAAAGAGAGGAGTTTACTGTTAAAAATGCTCACATTGTTTATCAAACAACTTTGATTTATGTGCAAGGAGGTAACCATTTTATGTCCAGTAAGGTTTTCATTTCTTTGGTATTAGGATGGAGCATTTTAAAAAAAATTTTAATTTATTTTTATTTTATGTATATGAATGTTATGCCTGCATGTCTGTAAGTGCACCTGTGTTGTGCAGTGCCTGTAGAGGACAGAAGAGGGCATTGGATCTCCCGGAACTGGAGTTAATGGACAGTTGTTATCTGCCATGTGGGTGCTGGGATTTGAACCTGGGTCTTCTGCAGGAACACCAGTGCTCTTAACTGCTGAGCCTTTTCTCCAGCCCTGGATAGAATGTTTTCTTAAATTTTTCTGAATACCACTGAAATGAAGGGTGGAATTTATATTACTATTCACAACTTTCTATTTTTATGGCTTTCCAGCGCTTTCACTAGAGGACGGTATGTTGTAGTAAGATGTAACATACATTTAGATAAAGAAACTGAAGGGAGTTGATATAATTTCTTTTTCCCCTTCTTTCCCTTCTTCCCCTTCTTCCCCTTCCCCCCTTCCCTCCTTCCCTTCTCCTTCCCTCCCTCCTGACATTGTCTCACTCTATAATCAGACTGGCCCTGAATTTGTGGCAGTCCTGCCTCAGCTTCTTAGATGCTGAGTTTAGGTGTGAGCCATGATACTCAGCTTGAGATATAATTTCCTTCTTAATTTTTTGTTTTTATTTTTAAGCTTTAAAAATTGCATTTATTTATTTATTTATTTATTTATTTATTTATTTATTTGTGTGTACATGCCATGGTGCACGTGTGGAGGTCAGACAACTTGTAGGAGTCCATTTTCTCCTTCCGCTATGTAGGTCCTGGGGATTAAACTCAAGATGTCAGGCTTGGCAACAAGTGTCTTTACCTGCTGAGCCATCTTGCTGGCTCTTGAGATAAGATTTCAGTGGAAAATTGATGATTGATGATCATGTCTACAAGTGAAAGTCTAGATATTAAAATAGGTGTTTGTTTTAAGAAACTGAGATTTAAAACTCAAGGAAAAACACTTTTTCTCCTTGTTAATTTATTCTTGTTATTCTTAGATTGATAGTTCCCAAATTAAAAAAAGAAAACTTTGACTTTTAGCACTCATAAAATCATTGTTTTTTTTCCACTGGGTGTGGTGGTACATGTTTTTAGTCTAAGCACTCTGGAGGCAGAGGCAGGTGAATCTCTGAGTTCAAAGCCAGCCTGGTCTATGTAGCAAGTTCCAGGACAGCTGGGGTTACAGAGAGACCCTATCTCAAAAAGACCAAAAAAAAAAAAAAGAGTTTTAGCATTTGTATCAGAAACCATCCTGCTATGTGCTGCAGAAAGTGTTGAAAGTTTTAGGGATATATTAGTAGTCTCAGTATTATGTTTCTCTCTAACTGTTCTTTTAATAAAAGCCTTTCATTTAGAGGAATATACCAAACTTATTTCACAGAAAGTTCCTCACAATGGCTATTTCTTCCTACTCAAAAAGCCTTCATACATTTGATTTAGGGTTTACACCAAAAACTGCTAGTTAAAGACCTTCTCTATATTTGTCCCAACCTTTATTTCTAACGGATTTTGTTCATTGTACCAAAGAGCCTGAATTAGAAGCTCACTTCTCTACAAGTAGGTCAGGCTGTCCAGTAATAGTGTTAGCCATCCCTCAGACCCTGTGCTGGTGATTTTTGAAAGTGGATGAGCCCACTTTCATGTGAGCATTTATCTCAGCTGTCTCTTCCATCTTTCCTCAGCCACCCCTGTTCTTCATCTTGTCACTGGCATAGACTTCTGCTTCTTGTCCCTACAGTCATTTCACTGGTAGGAACTGATCAAGCTGTCAATGGGCCAACAGAACTCAAATACAGGAAGCCTCAGCCTGGTCCTGGATGCTTTTCCCTAGATTTATTGGTAAATCTGCAGCTCGGGTGATGTTCTGTGGGAATCATATGTTTTGAATGGTTGTGAGGCTAGGCCCTCAAGTTAGCACTCCTAGTTAACCCATAAACCTTTAAAAAAATTCTTGGGGCTGGAGAGAAGGCTTAGCAATTAAGAGCACTGGCTGCTCTTCCAGAGGACCTGGGTTTGGTTCCCAGCAACTACATGGCAGCTAACAACCATCCATAAACTCCAGTTTCAGAAGCTCCAGTGCCCTTTTCTGGCCTCTTTGGGCACTGCATGCATGTGGTGTTCTTAACATTCATGTAGGCAAAACACTCATATACATAAAAATAAATAAAATTAAAAATATTTTTTTCTTTTTATTGTTTATTTATTTATATGTATGTATGTGTGCCTGCTTGTCTGTATTACCAAGTGTGTACAGTGCCTGGGAAAACCAGGGAATCAGGGAATCAGATTCCCCTGGAACTGGAGTTGCAGGCAATATTTGTAAGTGGCCTGATGTGGGTGCTGGGAACTGAACCTAGGAACTGAACTGAACCTCTACAAGAACAGCAAATGCTCTTAATCACTTAACCATCTCTTCAACCCATAAGCACAATCCTTTTAATACTGTATTAAAGATTGGCTCCCTGTGGCAATAATTTGAAAAGAATATATTCAGAATTCTCAACACTGATCTAGAGAGATTAAACAAAGTGAACATATATTGAAGATTCTAAAATGAGTCAGCTTAGCTCAGTAGTGGACAGGGAAGTATTTCTTACAAAAATGAACCAGAATTAATTTGCATGAATTATGAAAGAAAAGGCTTATCACTGCAGACACATTTTTATAGTCACTATTTAAACTTGAGCGTGTGAGGCCAGCACTGTTTCTTTGTGTGTGCAGGGTTGACTGCCTCCACACAGATCTTGGGGTCCTGTTAATGGATGGTCATGCAAACAGCAAGGCTCAATTAGGAGGAGCAGAAGAAAATGTTTTCTCTCCTAGACTGAAGTTAACGTTCATAGGAAGTGTACACCCTTCCCAGGTCAACCTGAATCAAAAGCCCCTGAGGTCAGCTGCTTCCGGCCACTGATGTGCTCTTGTCAAACAACTACATGCTGTTCATGCATTTGTCTTTTGATGGGTCCTTGGTCAAGAATGTGGTTGTAGTCCAAGCAGAAGGGCAGCCTCCCTAACTTCACCTCCAGGACCTTTGTGCTCTCCAGCTTCGTGTTGCTGTAATGAAATACCCACGGAAACCGGCTTACGAAGGCAAAGACTTATTGAGCTCAGAGTTTTGGAGTTTCAAGAACATGATATCCATGTGGACTCAGTTCTGATAAGAGTGGCAGCTGATGACACACTGTGGCAGGAATGCATGTGGAACAAAACCATAATATCTCAAGCCAAGCAGAGAGAAGGGGGGGTGGGGAACTGGAGTTCCACAGTCCCTTTTGAGGAACAGCCCAATAAACTAAGGGCCTCTCACAATAGGCCTAATAGGCCACCCTCTGGACCAAGCCTTCAGTTACAACAAACTCCTGGGAGACAGTTAAATGCCATCCAAGCGGAGTGACCCTTTACAGGGTGGTTCCTACTCACAGCCTCTCCTGACCTGTTGCTCTCGGCACACGTCAGCTGCCACAGCCACTGGAGGCCCTTACAGCCCCCTGAATCTGTTTAGGATCGTTCTGTCTTCTGAAGTGCCGACTGTTCCCCTTTGTTTGAAGTACAGTGCTTTCCTTTTCTTACCTTGTCAGAATTCAATCTGTATCTTGTCAGTGTTTCATAAGTAAAGATGTCTGTCATTAACTTTAATTTAGAAGAAAATTTTAGTTTTTTCTGATTGTAGCCAAGTTCATAAACTTAACCATCACTTGAGATATGATGGTATTTCCTTTATTTGAATGAAAACTGCATTGATTTTTTTTTTGGGTGGGGAGAATATACATAACTTAACTTAACCATTGATAAATATACATTAGTTGCATTTGCAATCCTGTATAACGATTACTACTATACTCCTGATTTCTCCATAATCTTTTACAAAAGCTCTGAACTCATCTAATACAGAATTTCCACCCCCCCAGCCCCAGTCCTTTATAGCCACCGTTTTGACCCACATAACCAAGAATCACATCATATTTGTCTTTCTGTGTCTGGAGTATTTCATTCGCATCCGGGTTTCACATTTCATCCATGTTGCAGCATATACCAGGATTTGCCCCTTTCTTTCCTCCATCCTCCTGTACCCTGCATTTTGGGTGCTGGGTTTGGACCCCAGGGCTTTACATGTGCTAGAGTCTCCTTTGCTTAGAAGTAGCTTGGGCCAGAGAGGAATGAGTGAGTTGCTAACACATTGGTAGTAAAGTTTTTTCTTCTTTCCATATTTTTTCCTTTGCAGTGCTGGGGATCAAACCAAGAACCTGCTAGGCATGTGATCTACCACCAAACTGTACCCCCAGCCCAGTCCTTCATTTAAAAAAAATTATTACTTTTATGTGTACAACCGTATTACCTGCATGTATGTGAGTGTACCCATCATGCAATGCTGCGGAAGTCAGAAGAGGACATTGTATTCCACAGGAACTGGAGTTAAGGATGATTCTTAGCTGCCATGTGGGTGCTGGGAATCGAACCCAGGTCCCGTGTAAGAGCATTCAGTGCTTTTAACCATGGAGCCATCTCTTCAGCCCCCCAATTCATAAGCTGGAGCAAAATTCAGTTGTGCGTATCTACCATGTTTCATTTATCCACTCATCTGTTCATGGATGCTTGGGTTGTTCCTGTCCTTTGACTGTAGGGAATACTGTTGTTACGATCGTTAGTATACAGATATCTCTTGTAGGCCCTACTTGCAGTGCTTTTGAATATATGTGTAGGAATAAAATTAGTAGGTGTATGGTAGCTGTAGGTATAACTCTCTGAGAAACTCCCAAGGTATTTTCCATAGCCCCATCTTACATATTACAGTAACCAATAGCATTATAGGGTTCCACTTTCTCCACAGCCGTGGGAACGCTTACTTATTAACATTACAGTTGTTCTGGTAGGTGCAAAATGACACCTCATTGTGGTCTTGGTTTGCAGTTTCTAACTTCAAATGGCACGGATCATTTTTCATGTTTGTTCATTCTGTGTCCTTGGAGAAGCATGTATTCAGGTTCTCTGACCATTTCTGAATTGGGTTATTTGTTCTGAATTTTTATCAGCATCTTCAATATAAGCATATCTCAGATTGTAAGACTTGCTTCAATTTCAGAAATGTTAGCATATCATAACATCTATATGAACTTGTTTTTGCACAACTTGCAATGGCTTCATTGTGGTGATAATCATGTTAATAAAGTAGGTTAAACTACCTATCAATAATTGATTAATAATTGATTTTGGGCAGCTGGTGAGATAGCTCAGGGGTTAAGGTAAGTATTGTTCTTGCAGAGGACCTAAGTTCAGTTCCCAGTACCCACACTGGGAAACTCACAACTGCCTGCAACTCCAGCTCTCAGGAATCCAATGCTCTGGCCTCTGTAGCATCCATACACACATGCACAGATATGCATACTCAAAATTAAAATACATTTAAAAAATTGGTGCCAGGCATGATTGCTTCCTCTGCCTCCCAAGTGCCGGGATTAAAGGCGTGCGCCACCATGCCCAGCTTGTTTCCTCAGTTTTAAAAACCTCTTCCATAGTGTCTGTAAAAATATTATTCAAAGAGCCCGGTGTGGTGGCGCATGCTTTTGATCCCAGCCATAGGGAGGCAGAGGCAGGTGGATCTCTGTGAGCTCAAGGCCAGCCTGGTCTACATAGTGAGTTCCAGGACAGCTGGGGCTACAGGAAGACCCTGTCTCAACAAAAGATGAAAAAAATTGATTTGGGGAGGCTGGAGAGACAGCTCAGGGCTTAAGAGCACTTGCTGTTCTTCTGGAGGACCCATGTTTGACTCCTAGCACCCACATGGTATCTCTGGCTCTGTTGTTCTCTCTGTTGTTGTGTTGGCGCCCAAATTTTCACCCAGCACCCCCATGGTATCTCTGCGTCTGTTTTTTTCTTTTGTGTTTTGTGGGCGCTACACACACACACACACACACACACACACACACACACACACACACACACACACACCAAGAAACTTACTGGCCATCAAAACCCTTGTACAAACAAAAATTTTTTAAATTACTTTAAAAATTGATTTTGCTTTCCATTTACTGTACCAGTGTCTGCTCCAGTTAAACACTTGTTTTTACATATATTGTGTTCATTAAGGACAGGCAGGCATTCAGTTTATCAACATAGTATTAGATCACTATGTTAAAAGACTGAATTTTTTTTAAAAAATAAAGCCTTTATATTTCTTGATTTTAAATATGAATTATTAAAGCAGCATTAAAAATACTACAGGAAAAAAGTGATTGTACTTTTGTTTAATTTTTGTGTCACAAAGTCAGTTTATATCAGTACTGGGACTATATAATCACCTATCTTCTCTGGCTTTGTCTTGGCAGATCCTAGGGTCTCTGTTCTCCGTCCGGGTTGTGGGGCTGTCCCTGGCCTGCAGCTATTTATCCCCACAGGACAGCCGGCCCCTCTGTCACTGGGCAGTTGACAGGTAAAGGGAAAAGATTGCATGTGCTCTTTCTGAGCTAGGCTATGCAACAGTAAACTTCTTCCCAGTACTAGCTATTCTGTATCTCTTACCTCTCCAGTGTCAGCCCCTTGTTAGGTTCTTAGATGGAGTCTGTTCTTTTTTATAAACTCCATTTCCAGAAAGATATTACTACGGCCACTTCAAAGATGAGGGAGCAACGAGATTCCTAGAAATTAACTTGTTCATTCTTACACAGCTAGTTAATGGGGAGACCCAAAATGAATCCAGAGTTGTCTAACTGATGTACCCATATCTGTGTGGTTAAGTTATGCTACAGATCCCAACTGGAATGAGTGTCCCCTCTGGGGTGGGTGAGAATGCTACCATTGGATCTTTGGCCTGAAACTGTAAAAGGTTGTGGACCACACTCGGGGATAAAACCAGTGTGCTGATTCTCCCATGCCTCCTGCTGCTCCACGTAACCATTCAGTAGCTTGTCACTGTGCAGCCTTCCACAGCCTCCTGTAGGGCCAGCATGATATCCTCAGGATGACTTTGTTCTATGCATTAGTTGACTGGTACTTTTGTTTATGTTCCCATAGAGCCCTGTTCTTAGTAAGGTTCTCTGATTTCCTGACTTGGTCTGTCAGAGCTGACTGAGTCCATAATGTAGAGCTATGTCAGAAGGCTACCCAGAGCAGCCCATCTGCACCCTCCTTAGCTGGTGAGGAAGGAAGGGAGGAGCCTGACAGAAACAAGAGAAGGGAAGATTTGCTTTGACTCATGGTTTTAGACATTTCAGAGAGAGAGAGAGAGAGAGAGAGAGACCAGAAATAGGATATACCCAGTGACCTACCCCCAGTGACTTATCCCAGCTAATCTCTTCTTCTTTAGAACCTCCCAAAATCATGTTACCAGGGATGTGAGTCTACAGGAGACATTTCATGTTCAGATCATGACAATGTGTAACTGCCCTATAGATACTAAGGATGTATCTGGGACCTCAGTGGAACAATTAACTATATATATCCTTGTAGTAATGAAAAAGCCCTAGAGCTCCCACTTCCCAAGGATATGAGGAGAGGGTGTTACAAGTTCTGCACACTTAGAACCTCATGTTCAGTTTCCAGTCAGTTTGGTGTTTCTGTTTGGAACATTCCTTCCATGGAGGAAGTAGGACGCTGACTGCTGAGCCCCGCAGAGCTGTGGGAAGGAGACTGTTTTCTGATGGGTTTCTTTATTCTCTCTTCAGAGCTTTGCACCTCAGGAGGCCCGGAGGTCCCCCTCACGTCAAGCTGGCTGTAGAATGGGATAGCTCTGTCACAGAGCGGTGAGTTAATGGAATTTGCCTACTGCAGACCTGGGGTAGGAACCTGCCTCTGGCCAGAAACATTCCGTAGACCCAGTTTCCCCAGTATAAGTGTAAGACTCTACACACATACCTTTGATTTGATGAACCCCGTTCCTCTGAGAGAACTTAGGGAGGGCTGTATGTATAAACAACCATAATGGGCATGATGATCATGATGGAGGTCAGTGGGGGTGTTAGAATAGTAAATGCTTATGCACCCCTCACCTTGGGCCACTTATGGCTCAGAACACTTTATGTGCTCTGAGCAGTTGGTTTGTGCTTCATCACAGCCCGTGTGGGAAGACTATGAGGTTGGTACTTTCCAGAAGTAGAAACTGTGATACATAAGATGAAGAAATTGCACACAGCTCGTACACATAGAGCTGGGATTTGAGCTTTGGCCATCTAGCTTGAACCTAGGCTCATTACTAGAGTAATGCCTGCCCCTAGCAGCACCTCTGCACACCAGTCTTACTTACGAAAGGACATTTTTCTTTTTTAAAATTTATTACTTTAATTTTACATGTATGAGTATATTGCCTGCATGTATGTAAGTGCACTTGTGTCATGCAGTACCCATGGAGCTCAGAAGACAACATTGGAGTCCCCTAGAACTGGAGTTATAGACAGTTGTTAGCTGCCATGGGGGTGTTGGGACTCGAACCCAGGTCATTTCTCCAGCCCCCTCCTCCCCCTAAAAGAACATTTTTCAGTACATCAAGTACTTACCCATTTCTTGCAAGGATCTAAGTTTTAGGTACTGAAATGAGTAAGCCATGACTTGCTCCCTCAAGATGCTGGTAGGGGAGAGAGAAGATTCCTCAAGTGGCTGTGAAGTTAGGGGTACAAGAGGTTCCCAGAAACCCACAGGAAGAGTAGCTACGCATGTTTTCTGTGTGGCGACATGTGAGACTCCTTGAGGGGGAAAGCCCTGAATGCTGTGTCCTTTCCTTCCATGTAGCCTTTTTGGGAGCCTCCAGGAGGAGCGGGTCCAGGATGCAGACAGTGTGTGGCGGCAGCAGCAGGCACACCAGCAGCCCAGCTGTACCCTGGATGAATGTTTTCAGTCCTACACTAAGGAGGAGCAGGTCCTGCCCTGGAGCCTTGCCCTGGAGCTGAGAAGGGGGCTGGCTGCCTGTGGAGGGTTGTGTACCATTGGGTGGGGGCAGGCCTCACAGTCCCGGTGGCTTCCTTTCCAGCTGGCCCAGGATGATGCGTGGAAGTGCCCTCACTGCCAAGTCCTCCAGCAGGGCGTGGTGAAACTGAGTTTGTGGACCCTTCCAGACATCCTCATCATCCATCTGAAACGGTTCTGTCAGGTGGGAGAAAGAAGAAACAAGCTTTCCACACTAGTGAAGTTCCCCTTGTTTGGACTCAACATGGCTCCCCATGTAGCACAGAGGAGCACCAGCTCGAAGGCAGGACTGGGACCTTGGCCCTCCTGGAAGGAGCCAGCCTGTCTGCCCACTGCCTACCCACTGGACTTCCTCTACGACTTGTATGCTGTCTGCAACCACCACGGCAGTCTGCAAGGTGGGCATTACACAGGTGAGCCTTGCCATTGCCTTTCTGTGTATGGCAGTCTTGGCCATATAACTTGGCTGCGGCTAGAGCCTCAAGATGCATCCAGAATTGGTGCTTCATGAAGGCCAGTGCCCTTCCTGCTCAGTGGGGTTGACTTGTCATCCACTGCACACAGGGAAAGAGGGGAGAGTGCCCAGTTCTCTCCAGGAAGCTGATGTTGACTTAGGTTGGTGGTTGGAATATAAAGTTATTTATTGCCCATGTTTGGAGGCACATTAGATGTAGAAAGGTAGCTACCAGAACCAAGAGAGTGATGTCTGTCTTCATTTGAAACTCAGCACATAGGGTCTTACCAAATTCGGCTTTTTTTTTTTTTTATTCTGTAGGGAGCTTTTAATTCCTGTTCATCTGAGGAGTTTAGAAGTAGTAGATGAATAGAGAGACAGAAATTACTGTACAACTCTCTTGATGGCTTATCATCATCCCTGTAAGCACTCTTAGAGATGGCATGACTGAGCATATCCTGATGATGTCATTCATTGATTCTGTCACACCTTAGTGATCACAGAAGCCCATAGGAGAGCTGATGGCAGCAGCATTTGGGTGTCCAGTGGGTAGACAGTTGTGGAGACTGATCCCTATGGTCCTTGTGATTTGGAGAGGTTTAGGATTCTATCTCTGTAACTGGAGACTGGTACAGTGCTGAGAGAGGGAGAGAGCGAGAGAGCGAGAACGAGAGAGAGAGAGCGAGAGCGAGAGAGCTTGAGAGTCGACAGAAGTTGAAGGATGGAGCTGGGCTAGCTACAGTGACAGTTATGGTGGACACCAGTCTCCATGTCACTATTCTGCCATGCCTCCCATTCTTCCATAGCTATCCTGCACCAGATGAGAGGGGCTGCCAGTTTCATCCTAGGGGACTCTTCTGTCTAGCCAGTTCCCCAGTCTTCTTTCTCTGGGCTAAAAATAGCTCAGTACAAATCCTTTGAGAATTTATGTATGTGTATGTATCTTGGGAGACATCAGTCCTGCTGTTTCACCTTGAATCTTTTAGTGCAGAGCTTTGTACCTGCATTAGTCCCCGTGTACACATTAATGATGGGAATGTGAACACTTGGAACATGGGTCTTGTCACCTCACATGCTGATTGTATTTCCTTCTTCAATATAGACACATGAGGGTGGCCCCAAGGCAAATTAAGAACCTTGTTGTAGGGCCAGCAAGATAGCGGGTGGAGGCAGTTGCCATCAAGTTCAACGACCAGAGTTTGATCCCCAGAATCCACATAGTAGAAGAAGAGAATCTACTTCCACAAGTTGTCTTCTGACCTTCACATGTGCACCATGGTGTGTGTGTGTGTGTGTGTGTGTGTGTGTGTATGTGTATGTGTGTGTGACACAAATAAAAAAGAATACAAATGTAAAGTCACAGGGGACTTAGCAGTAGTGTAGAGTGGGGAAGGGTTGGTTTATGTGAGCACTCCTCACCAAATGCAAAAGCTGGGGCCCTCCAGAGGTAGGCATTGAAGTTTGGATGAAGTAACAAGTGGCCCAGTTTCTGCAGAGTTCTATGGGCTGGTGTTTGCTCATGCTCTGCCTCCACCTGGTTGGAAAAGGTTTTAATACTAAAACAAGAGAGGCATTCCACAAGGGGAGACTGGTGGGTATGAAGGTAGGCAGTTTTTGTAGCCAGTGTAGCCCCAGGTCAGGTCTGGGCCAGATGTCCATCTGTACACCTCATAGTATCTCCTTCCTCATCCCAACCCTGTGCTGCTGGTTAAATGGACAGTGTCAACCCTGAGCCACTTGATTTCAGAGTCCTCAGCTTCTACCCTGCAGAGGTGAGCAAGTTCCAATGCCATGCAGGGTGCTGCAGATAAGCACCGACTTCTTTGTTTAGGGAAGCACGTGTTCTTGTAGCTTCCTAAGAAAGGGTGATGAATGCATGGCATTTGGAGTCCTTGCATGTCCTAAAATGCTTTTGATCCCACTTGCCTGGCAGCCTGGTTAGACATAGAATTCTGGGTTGATGGGCATTGTCCCACAGTCTTTGGACAGGGCTGCTCCCTGGGGAATGGGGGTCAGGACTGGACTTTTGCTTTTGAGATGGGCCAGCTAGTTTCATTTCTGTTTCTTTGTCTGAGATCTGTTTATCTTTCTGGAAACTTTCAGGTTCTTTATCACTGGTGCCCTGGAATTTCACAGGCTGTACCTTTGTGTGGGTCTTTTTTATTTTTTGTGCCAGGAGGTACTGAGCTTGTTTTTCAGGCCAGGAAATTTCCTTGTGTTTATTTAAAAAATTAACAAAAATCCTTTTTAAAATTGACACTAAAAATCCCACAGTTTTATGGGGTACCATAGAATATTTTGATACATGTATACATTATATAATATTCAAATCAAGGCAGCATGTCTTTCTCCTAAACATGTATTTCTTTGTGGTAAAAATAGTCAAAATCCTTTCCTGAAGCTTTTGAAATATATAGTAAATCATCATTATCTGAGGCCACCCTGCTGTGCAATGGCACAGGAGAGCGTCATACTCCTAACTGTAACCTGATACTCCCTGGTCACTCTTTCCCCATCTACCCCTCTAGTCTGTGGTACCCACCACTCTGCTCTCCTTTGAACAGTCCACATATGAGTGAGAGTCTGTGGTACTCATCTTTCTGTGCCTGACTTCCTTAAGATGTCTCTCTCTCTCTCTTTCTCTTTCTTTCTTTCTTTCTTTCTTTCTTTCTTTCTTTCTTTCTTTCTTTCTTTCTCCATTTCTACACATAAAGCACTTTCTCTCTCTTTCTTTCTTTTTCCTTTTTTTTTTTTTTTGAGACAGGATCTCTCTGTAGCCCCAGGTGGCCCAGAACTTGCTATATAAACCAGGCTGGCCTTATACTCACAGAGGTCCGTCTGCCTCTGCTTCCTGAATGCTGAGACTAAAGTCATGTGCCGCTGTGCCTGGTGTTCATTTTTAAAGGTTAATATTAGAACAGATAATGTATCTATTCCTGTGGCTCAAAATCAGTGTTGTAAACAATGAAATCTTAGGGGCTGGAGAGATGGCTCAGTGGTTGTAAGTGCATATTTTTTTCTTTAATTAATTGATTATTTTTATTTTGTGGTATGAGTGTTTTGCCTGCATGTATGTAGGTATACTGCATGTGACCAGAGGAGGGTGTTAGATCCACCCAACTGGAGTAACAGATGGTTGTAAGCTGCCATGTGCGTACTAGGAACCTGGGTCCTCTGCAAGAGCAACCAGTGCTCTTAACTGCTGAGCCATCTACCCCCAAGCACATACTTTTCTAGCAATGTTTGTTTCCCAACACTCACATCAGGAGGTTCATAACTACCTGTAACTCCAGCTCTAGGGCATCCAGACTTCTGACCTCCACAGGCACCTACACTCATGTGCATACCCACACACAGACCCACCCACATACACATAACAAAAATTTAAAAATCAGAAAGCAATGAATTCTATTCTTACCCGTAACTCCTGTCTGTCGACTCCCAAGGACTTTCCTTAGTCTTCTGTGTCTTTCTAGAATTTTTATATGCAGATGAGCAGATATACAGATAGAGACTGCCTAAGACTTACCCTCCCCCTCCCTTTAAACACAAGAGTAGAATACTGTGTATAGAATTTTGTACCTGGCTTTTTTCCATTTAGTAATATAACTTAGAGATTTCTACATTGTTATATAGAGGATTAGGGCACTCATTGTTCAATCTTTTGCCTTATAATTATTGCCATAACCCTTTATGTGTGATATTTCCTACATGTACAAGGTTATAGGTAGGATAAATTCTCAGAATTGGGATAGCTTGGGGTGCGTGAATGTGTGTGTGTGTGTGTGTGTGTGTGTGTGTGTGTGTGTGTGTGTGTGCTGGGGATGGAAACTAGGGCCTTAAGTATAGTAGGCAGACATCCTACTACTGAGCAAGATACCTCTTCCAGGATCTGCATTTTGACAAGTGCTACCAAACTGCTCTGCACACAGGCTTGTAGGAATTTGCTCTCCTACCAGTGGTAAGTGTTCCTATAGGAAAACTCACCACAAAGTGTGTTGGGAAACTTGGATTTTTGCCAATCTAATGGGGAGCATGGCATCTCTTTTTGTATGCTTAAAAGTCCCATGTACCTGTTCCATGAACTTTCTGTCCATGTTCTTTAACCGATGGCCACGGGACTTTGGTAACAGTGTCTGTGTAACATCTGTCCTGGCTGTGCCTGAGGTCATTTGTTGTCATTCGCAAGGCTTTTGTTTTGCTATTTTAGGAATTCAAATTGTCAGTCATTTCTTTATGACTTCTAGGTTTCAAGGCATATTAGAAAGCCCTTATGCTGGAAGGCTGCAGTGTTTTCCTATGTTGTCTACTAGTGAGTGCTTGTGAGGTTTTACATTACTACATTTAATTTGTGATTTGGAGTTTCTTGGTGCTCTCAAGAGCATCTCATTCCCCCCCTTACCCAACATACCAGTTTGCTACAAGACCACTACTAATTAAAAAGAAACCTTAATTACTTGGTATTACATATTGGATACTTTATTTTTTGTGTTTGGTCTATTTCTGGCTTCTGGTATTTTATTCCACTGACTGAAAGTCTCATCCCGTGAACACTGTCCTGATGGCTGAGGCCACCTGGAGGCTACAGCCATTACTCAGCTCCTTAGCACAGAAATCAACACGTTTAGAAGATGTTGAGGATTTTAGGAAACATCTTACGGTGTTATGATAGCCAGTTACAGGCTTTACAGAGAGAAGTAAAAACATCATCTTTGTTCATTTCAGAGTGGTCATTATGTGGAGACTGGGTAGACAAGAACAAAAGTTCATATGGGAATTCCAGTTGGCAAGGTTTCTGAGGCTCAGGCTGGGTATTGACAAAGTATTCTGGACATATTCTGAGAATAGATCCAGTAAGAATGGCTTTTGGATGGAGAGAGGTAAAAGAAGAGGAAAGGTGAACTCCTAGATGGTGGGCTAGGATTAGTGTGAGGGTCAACAAGCTAGGACCCATGGGTCCTGTCTAGTCCAGGGCCTGGGCTCATGTAGTCCGTAAATTTAAAAAAAAAAATTCTTTTAAAAATAGCACTTTAAATTAAGTAGCAAAAAAGAAGAGTGAGAAATATGTGGCCACGTGTGTCGTACAAGGCATGAAGCATTTCTTGGTCTAGTCTGTTCAAGAAAGAGTTTACCAACTTCAGGACCAATGGGCTTTGGTGCTGCTCACTGAGACTGGAGGGCCAGGTTAAGGGCATTTGGTTGTAGTTGGTTGGGAGGTGGCAAGAACCATATTGATCTTTTTGTAACCACTGGATTCTAGCTTTTGGGTAGAAGAAGAATACTGAAGTCCCAACCTGGATTCTCATTTTCACTTCTACTGCACACCTTGAGATGTGCAGTTTGACACTTCACAGAAAAAGGGTGAACGGTGACATTACTGTCTGGCTGTGTCATGTGAGGCTCCATTTAATGGGGGGAGTTTAGCTGAAAAAGGGTTACAGTGGAAGGATTCACCTCTGGTAACCACTCTATTAGTAAGAATCCCATCGATTCTAAAACTGTTGACTTTAAAAATATATATATTTTATTGCTGGCGGTCCCCAGGAGCCCTCTGGGCCTGGTCCCGCCCTCACCTCCCTCTGCTTCCCTGGGCTGCACAACCTGCCAGCCTCTTTCCTGGACACTGGGGGCTGACCTCTTGGCTTCCTGATCCTTTGCATCCAGACCAATCCAGTTCCTCCCTGCAGTCCCTAGGAGCCCTTGGGTCCTCTTCCTGCCCCCATCTCCCTTTGCATCTCTGAGTGTCATGGCCACCAGCTGCCCGAGACCAGCATCTTTCCTGGGCCCTGCTCTCAGGCCAGTCCTACCCCCAAATTCCTGAGGACAACATCTTTCCTGGAGGGATCCAGACCTTAGGAGAAAGCCTGAGAGCATCTGATCCTCATCTGACTTGGGCCTCTGTGGGAAATCCTGAAGGCAAAAACAATCTGGCCACTCCAAGATAAAATCAAAAGAGAGAACCGGAAGCCTAGACCAACCAGCTTTTCATGCCCAACAAGTAAACCACAAAGACACATAAAGTGTACAAAAAGAAGCAGACCTAAACTTGAAGGCCTGAGTCTCATACAAGAATCAGAAACTACAAAAGAAATTCACATGTCAAAATCACAGAG